CGGAGGCCGCACAGCTGCTGGCTGGCAAGTTCCTTGTGTATGGTCTGAAAGGGTCTGGGGCACTCTCAATCCAACAAGTGATCTTAGGCTGTCAGCCCAGATCTTGCAGACTTCTTGGAAACAAATGGACCTCATGATCAGCAACGACCTGTCCAACCTGCAAGCTTGGGCACAGAAATTCGAGCTCCATGCCAACCAGCAGGCCCTACACTCAGCTTTTCAACTAGTCCGCCGCAACCAAGAGAACTACTGCTAAGGGGGCGCTGGACATCAGATACATCGAGGATCGGTTTCAAAGAGGCCGCAAAGCATGTCATGCCTTCATGGATGAGAAGGTCCATCAGAAATACATTGAGTACAAGACTTTGGCCAGCAGTCAAACAGATATTGTCACTGCACAAGCCACACTCGGGAGCACTGCGTTTCTCAGCTTCGATACATGCTAGTAATAACTCCACACCCTTCCTCTCCACATGTTTGATTGGTTGGTTGACCATACCTCCCCCTTCCTTCCCACTTGACCCGACACTGAGGCTAACCATACTGGTGGTGGATTGCACCTTGTGGCCTGCTCGTGCTCCCAGCATGTTGGGCCAAGTGTCAGCCATCAGCTCAGCGCAAATGCCAGGCCAGCTTACTGTGGATGAGGCGGTCAACCTGTGCATGGCTGTGGCAGGTGGCAACAGCCGAACCCTGGCTCTCTACCTTCTTCCCCAAACACACTCAAGTGCTGACCGGCTCACTATCATGAAGCACCGACGGCTCTTGGAAGACAAAGTTGGGGCGTGCCTGTTCTGCACATTGTTGGAATACTGCCTCTTGATACCAGTTGCATTTATGGGCCCACATTGGCATGTGTACTGGCAGGTCAATGGATGCATATGAGATTGCCCTCAACTTTGTTGACAGTGGTGGCCATGCTGGCGACAAACGCAAAACATCCCAACAATGCGGCTTTGGCAAATCAGTTTACTGGGCAGTACAAAGAAAAAACAAGTGAGTAAGGTCTGGCAGCGGTGGGAGCTGGGCACAAGCAGCACGCGTTCTCGAAATGCAAAGCCTTGTTGGGGAGCATGAACAACATCCCAAGATCCAGAGTGATGGAGCTCACCAACCCTGAAGTTGACAAGCCCCTGGCAGCTCATTTCCGTGCCCCTTGGCCTCCCACTTGTTTGGAGTGTGCTCCACATTTTCTTGGCCTTTGCAACCTAATCACCGCCCATCTTTCCTGTGCAGCCGAGGTTCAGCAGCGTGGCATTGAAGGCACCAAGGCAGTGGTGCAGGCTCTCCTGGAGGGGGTGGACGTGCCAGAGGGAACCCCTGTGTTGGTCTGTGATGTCATCCCCAACCGGACACTTGTTTGCATGAGGTAGCTTTTATTTCTAGTTCAAGGCACAATCCTTTGACCTCAACAATCGATAACAGTTGATTGCTCCAATAAGGTTCAACGAGTGGGGCCAGGCAATGTGGGCTCTACAGCGGGACCGCTTGGTGGAATCAGCTGGTGGCCCAGTCGTCCACTTCATGTCCTTACACGCAGAGGGCTCGGGTTTGATGGATGCTGCCAAGAGCCAAATCACTGGAAAGGTTATGAAGGACAGCCCCTACTCAAAACAAGTTTCAAAGCTCAGCTCCTACCCCAACAACCGTTTGGCAGGAATGGTGGGATGGATGCCCAGAAGCAGGAGACAAGGTTCGACCCGGTGCACAGTTCAAAGAAGCCCCCCGAACCTGGAGATGCTGACCACAGAGAATGGGGATGTGAAGATGCTTGCCAACCTTGCCCTGAAAACCCTGAACTAACCCTGGACCCTTAAAACCCTGAACTAACCCTGAACCCTTGACACCTTGAACTGAACCCTGAACCCTGGCAACCCTGAACTGAACCCTGAACCCTTGCAACCCTGAACTGAACCCTGAACCCTTGCAACCCTGAACAATTGAAACCTTGAACTGAACCCTGAACCCTTGAAACCATGAACTGAACCCTGAACCCTTGAACTCAACCCTGAACCCTTGAAACCCTGAACTGAACCCTGAACCCTTGAAACCCTGAACTGAACCCTGAACCCTTGAAACCCTGAACTCAACCCTGAACCCTTCAAACCCTGAACCCTTGAATCCCTGAACTGAACCCTGAACCCTTGAAACCCTTGTTTGCTGTGCCCTGTGATTAGGATCCCAGACTTGGTGCTGGAAAAGTACAAGAACTCTGATGGCTTCTCCGAGAGTATTGAAACCTTGGTGGACCGTGTGCAAAGTGAGGTCACTGGGAGCATCAAGCGTGCGCTGAAAGCTGAGACCAACCCGGCCCCAAGTGATCTTGCACTTCAAAAGTCTTCATCGGCGCTGCCATCACCAAACCCCCAGCGTACCCAATCCAGCCCAGAGTGGAATGGCGACAAAGTTGTGGACTTGCAAAAAACAGTGGTGTTTACTGCAATATCCTTGAACGATTTCCAGAGCAACCAGGAGCCACTTGCTTGCACATTTGTTCATGGTGTGTGTGCTTTTCATCAAATCTCCCGCACCCAGGATTGCTCTGGCACTACCTCTGGCCAGGCAAACCGATCTGCAGCTGACCATCACAAAGAACGGGAACCTTTGGTTGCTTAACAACAGCAGCAGTGAACAAGCCCTGAGTGCTGGCGAGCTCTGTGGATTCAATGTTGGGTCTTTTGAGGAGATCGCCACAGGACCAAACTAATGTGGAACAATACAACCAACCCACCAACCCCAACTGAAAACCAACCTGCCCACCACCAAACAAACCCCTGCCCTCCCCAGCCCCCTGCCTGCAGGATCCGCGAGGGGAAAGCCGACCGGGCACATTCCATGGCTCTTGGAGAGCGATGCTGCGCTGGTGGTATTTGTGAAGGGGAATGAGAAAGTTATTTTGAGTGTGGCTGACGTGGTTGCTGATGTTGTCAGGGAACGGGGTGTGCCAGAACTCAGTGCCGTGGACCACACCATGGAAAGCAAGTACAAGGACAGGGCAAGTGTAATTTGGATTTGTGGACTCAACATGTGGCTCAACCAAAGACTTGATGGTGACAGGAGGAAAATGGCCAACGGGTCATGCTGAATTTCCGCTACAAAATCACCCCCCGAGCAAAAGTCAACGCTTTCGTGCCCAAAGACGTGACAGATATTGCAAGCTGCCGTTTGTCAATGGCTGGGGCTTGGTACATGAACAAGTTCGACAAGATTCCAAGATCAGAAAATATCAACATCCTTTGGGAGGCGGGGCTGTTGCAACTTGGTTGGGGCTTCGGGTTGGCCACTGTGTGTTATGCTCCCTGCTACTGAAGGCGAAGGTTGATGAGTCGATCCCGGCGGTCATCACCCCACTCAAGCCAAAACTTCACCTCACCTGTAAGACCAAAGTACCTGGTGGGTCTGCTGTGCAGCTGAAGTAGGGCGTGCAGTTTTGACAGCTTGGATGTTGCTTCGTGGACTCGAGGAACAAAGCGGGTGGTGTGTGCGTGTGTCTGGGTGGGCGGCTGTTGCATGCTACATGAACACTTGATTGATTGGCTTGATTTTCCATGGCGCAAGATTTGGCCCCACAGCTTCCTACCACCTGAGCACCAAGGCTGGCATGCCCCTCAGGGATGTAAGCGAGCTCTCTGATGATGAGCCCCCTGCACTGTCCAAGGATGCCCTGCCTACTGACTCTGAGACCAAAAAGGGAACAGCCAAGCCAAAAAAAGCTGGCAAGGCAAAGGCCAAGCCAAAGAGCCCAAAAGAGGTTGGGAGGGGGCGAGGCAGGGGCAGGTCTGGGAAAGCTATGAAACGGCCTGCATCCCAGGGCGCCAGCCCGCAGAAAAAGGGATCCAAAGAGGAGCCGCAACCTACGACCCCGGAACCAGAGCTTGCACCTGCTAAGAGGCCTGCATCCAAAGAGGAGCCGCAACCTATGGCCCCTGAACCACAAGAGCTTGCGCCTGCTAAGAAGGCTACTTGCTTGAAGCGCCCAGCAGCTGCCAACTTGGAGCAATTTGAGGGTCCAGCAGCACCAGCAAAAATCTACAAGTATCGCTACTCGACCAATGGGACCTGGGGTTTCAAAGTGAACGGCCGGGAAGTTATCAGGGTGCCCAAGTTGCAAGTAAGGGGTTGTATTCACTGGATGGTCACCAAACAGAACATGTAATGGTTTCTTTTTTGCTCTACTAAGTTGAAGCAAATGGGATTGCCCGACAACGTTCTGGAGGAGATTGCCGTGCCCTGGTTAAAGCAAGGACCACATTGTTTCCCTTCCAACACCTGGGATCTAAGGATTCGGTGTTCAATGAGCTGAAAATCCAAAATGGGGAGCCGCAAGCCGCATCAGCTCTTATGGAAGCTTGGCCTTGTTTGAATTAAGTGCTTAGTCTGTACCTTCAGCTATGCTTTCTTTGAAAATCCCGTCAACTGAGGATATCATGCTTGAGGCTGCCTTGAAGAAACACAATGAGCCCAAACCTGTCGAGCCTCATGCTGAGCCGGATGAAGATCAGGCCGAAGAAGAGATTGAGAATAGTCTAGAGATGGAAGAAGAAGAGCAACCAGAGGAAGACAAAGCTGTGGAGTGAATCCGTTGCGGAGAAAAATGTGCGCTGTGTGGGGGGGGGGGTTGGGACGCTTCAAAATCAGGAATTGAACATGTTCTTGCCTGTCACCAACAACAACCATTTAAAATCAGCCCGTCCCCAAACATGTCGGAATTGAACAATACCCTTGCCAAGAGGTTGTTTCTAACGACAACCCATATGAAATTATGAACAAAATATTTGAACCCATAACGAAAAAGAACCCTTTCAAACAAAACCCTTGATAGAGACCAAACCCCCAATTAACAGGATCCTGAATTATATATATATAAAGCAAACTTGTGATTCCCCAGCCGTGTTTCACTCACAAACAACAAAAAGAAGGATTCAAAAACACCGGTGATACCCCGGCCCTTTTCACTGCAGAACAAACCACACCCTCCCGTCGAACTTCCACCAAAACGCGCTGGGAGCCAGCAGCAGTTGCGGGTCGCTCCCGTCAGGCCTCAGCAGACATGTGGACGCCTGAAGAGCCTTGAAAGGGTCACAAACCTCGGCTTTTTAGAGGACTCCTCTGGGTTGTCTGGTTCATCTTAAAAGGGTCATCATGTTGACCCCATATTCATCAACCACAGTTTATTAATAGGGGGGTGCTCGCCTCCAAAAGTGGTCTGATTCCAACCACATTTCACCCAAACGTTGACACCCCCCGAGTTTAATAAACTTTAACATGGGGTCAACATAACATGGAATATTCAAAAGACCTTGGTAGAATCCCAAATGCATAGCTGCTATTGAAAGACTTACACAAACTGGTAGTGGAACCGCGAGATGTTTTGCTCGGCGGTTTCGGGCGCTCAAATTCGACGACCCGTGGCTTACTTCCACTGGACTTCGGTCCCAGCTGGAGCAGATAGGGACTTACTCGTGGGTGGCCCCAAGGAAATTCGAAGGAAAGCTAAGATCCGACCATTTTCAGGGAGGCCGTAGTGGTCAACATGACAAACAAGGCACACTGCCACATGGCATCTTCAACAATTCAAATCAAGCTTGATGCCTTAGTAAGGCATTGCGGAGGCATTGCAAAGGATGTACAATGAAAAGTTATGTCATCATGGGTGCCTTTATATTGATATATACATATATATATATATATATGTATGTGCTTGTACATGGGATCCCGACTTAGAGCCCCAGGAAATCCGAAAGGCAAGACGGCCCTGGCATCCGAAAGGCTTCCGAAAGGCATAAAAGGATCAGGGGCACTTTGCTTTCATTGGAACCCTTTTTTCCTGGAACCAAATACAACATGTCCCTCTTTTTTTCCTTCCCCCCTTTAAAGGAATCCACCTGGAGCACCCGTCGTTACCTAAATTTCTGCCCTTAGCCCAAACGTATTGCAAAACCAGGGGTCGTCACCAAAATATGGTAAACGTACACTTTTTCCTACTTCGAGCGTTGTTCCCAAAATAATCGGGCTGGTCGGTCCTCCAAGATAATCGGTCGCTGAAATTGTCGAAAGGAGCGAGCAGAAATCGAAGTGCAAAACGAGCGCAAATATCCGCAAAACGAGCGCAAATATCCGCAAACGAGTGCAAATTTAAAAAAAAAAAAAAACGTAACAATGCCCGCCTTCCTCTGGATGGAAGAAGGGGATTTGGTCGAGCGTTTTTCGGGGGGCGAGCGTTTTTTGGGGGGTCGAGCAGAAATCGGTAATTCGAGCGTTTTTTTATCGTACCTAAAAAAAAGGGCACGTTGGGTGCCTCAGGCACTGAAAAACCTTGCGGCGCGTTGTAAACGCCCGATGTTGCCTTTTGGTCCCCTCAAAAAAAGGACCTGCATGGACCTCCTCCCCCTCTGCGCGCCCCAGGGCCGGTCGAAATGGCTGTGGGTCAAAAGCCAAATCGTACCCCCAGTGAACATCCGATTCATCCAACCACTCAAATAGGTTCTAAAATGGGTGGTGAATTCACCTACCAGCCAAACTGGGATCCCAAACCGGTTTTGACCACCACCGCCCAATTCGTCGAACCATCGGCCGCAAAATCGGCGTGGCCATCGCTCAGAGAAACTCAGAGCGCGGCTCGATCTCCGGCAGCGGCTGCCAGGGGTCCGGCGCGCAGCTGCAGAGCACCGCCTGGCGCCCGAAGCCGCAGGCCTGGAGAGCTGGAGCTGAGGCGCCGGCCGCCGGGCGCGGAGCGAGGCGCGGAGTGGCGGGGAGTGGCGGGGGGGAGGTGGTGGTGGCTGGGGTTGGTGGCTTTTGTAGAGGCTTTTTTTTGCCACCCTGGGGAAAACAAAAAAGAAACGGTTTTATGGGGAGCCGGGAGCCGGGAGCCCCAGGCGGGGTTGCTGGGTGCCTGGATTCGACGGCCTTTTTTCGAGGTTGTGTACCACGACCTTGGGGGAAAAGATATGAAGGTGTATGACTTGGTATAGCCTTTATGGTGCAAGAGTGATTGCATACTATACCCTGAGTGCTAGAGTGGGTGTTTCCTATACCCTTAGAGTGCTAGAGTGGTTGTATACCCGCTTGGGGTGTGGTGGGGTAGTGGAAACCACCAGGGGACGGATGCTGGCCAATGTCCGTTCTGGTTCACGTGGGTTGCCATGTGTTGGCAGAGGTGCCAGGCTTTTTTTTCGCCGCCCTCGCCCAAGAATGGGGGTGTAACTCAGATTCTCAAGTCAAAGGGGCACAAGCCACCGTTCCAGATCCCTTTCAACTCTTGAAGCTCCAAGCATTCGTTCTTCACCATCCTCCTTCTCACGGGTGAAGCATTCCCATAGATCCACCGGGTGAGCGCAGGTGGCACCCAAGCCTTGGGCTCAGCGGCCTCAGGGCCTGGAACACGTGACAGCCAGAACCCACCTCTGCCACATCCGTGGTAAGGGAAACTACCCCCGCACCCTGAAATGCAGCATCCACCTGATCGGATCTATATCCACCAACAATCTTTCTTGGAGTTTGAGCTCAGGGAAGCAGTTCTAAAACCTTTGACTCACTGCGGACGCCACAGGTTGGCTCTTCAACAGCCATGAAACTGGAAGCCTTCCTGCTCGAATGATTCTCAAACGGGCTGTGATCAGATACACCCCGCTGAAACCGTCCCAAGCCACCTTTGACACAACTCAAAGCAGGGCTGGTTGGCTGGTTGTTGGGGCTCCCATGCGGGGGATATCACACAAAAAGGATTCTCGACACGAGGGACCCCTCACAAGTGGCTTCCCTTTTGGCTCACTTCAAAACGGCTCCCGATTTCAGCTGGGCCTGGGCTTGTCTTTGACCCCTTCCAAAAACTTTTTGACTGCCTGATTATCACTAGGGACCAGCCATTTTTAGCAAAGGTTGGAAGGTTAGTTCGGTAAGAAGGAGCACCAAGGCAACCTTCCAAACCTCGCGCCGCCGGATTCCGCCCGATTCCGAGTCGCCTCGCAGACCGAGAAGCCTTCCTTGCCCACCACTGCGCGGCGCAGGAAGCTCAGCCGCCAGCAGGCGTTCTCGTTTCGCCGGTAGTGCCACAAGTTCACCGCCTCGGTGGACGAGCGGAGGGCCCCAAAAAACAAACTTCACTTCCTGCCAATTGAGTGGACTGGCCCAAAAAAACAAGCAAACTTGTTGCTTGCCACTGAAATGACATTCCCGAAAAGTGCTTAAAGTCTATGAACTTAGGAAGTGAGAGAAAGTAAACAAACTGATTGTGTACCCATAAAATTGACCCTTCCCAAGAAGTATAAGTGTCAAGGAACTCAGGAAGTGAGTTGAAACCTGTGAATTGGGCTCCCCTTCATTTTAAATCTAGGGGGTATGAACTTGCAGGTTTTGGTTTGGACTCCCTACACCCTTCACGTTGCCAACCTGTACCCGCGTGATCACATGTAAGTGTTCCCTGTTCACCAATTGAAGTCGTTGCAAAAAACAACGATAACTTTTTTCATGACCTGCAACATTGAAATGATCAATGTATGCTCATGTGGGGACTTGGAAACAATGTTGAACACATCTTTGAGAAGCAGCGCAACAGCGCAACACGTCAGAGGATGTGATGATCCCGGGCGGTCCAACTACGATGCTCCTGCCATGTTCAGTTCAGCCTAGGCGTGTTTGCGCGCCCAACCACAATAAAGCCCAAGCATACGCATATCCACGAAGTGCGCTCCAGTCACAAAACCACATGATGTGAGTTGGGCTGTGGGGGGATGCAACAAAGTGCAGCGAGTTGCCGCAGCAGCCTGATCTCTCAAAACTTGAGCAAACGGTTTCCTCCAATCAGAGACCGAAGACATCTGTCCAAATGGACAACCCCAGGACACATTTCACTTGGTTCCCTCACAACCATAAGCAGGAGGCAAGAGGACTTCTCCTCCCCCCCCCAGGTGGGTGATGCAATCAAAACCATATCCAACTCATAAGTAGGAGAAAACGGATGCCCCCCCGGTCCGCCAGTTGAGTCCCCATTTGTCCGTGAATTTCAACAGGAAACCACCAACCACAAGTGGTCGGTGGACATGAATCCCCACCTGTCCATTCACTCCCTGAGTTGGACTCCTAATGCCCTGTGAAACCAGGTGTGTGTGTGTGTGTGTCGAAACGGGAGAGAATTCGCCCCCCCCCCCCCCCCCCAAAATGGACTTCGGCTTCCCTAGCGGTTTCCAACGTTCCAACCCGGAAAGGATTCCCCTCAAAAAAAAGACTCTGCTATGCTGAGTTCTTCTTTCAATCATTACCCAGGTGCAAAGCTACCAGGAACCCGACCTATGGCCACCCAGCGGTTGGGTTCCTACCAGTGCTAGGTCCTCCAGTAGAGAGGTTAGAATAAGTGGGTACCCTTTTTTTTCTGGCGTCGATTTTAGACACGGGGAATCCCGAAACAACCAAAAAAGAAACGGTGAGAGGTCGGGCACCAATTGCTGGGGGACCTAGGTCTGGTGCAGTTCACAGACCAACAACAGAACACCACAAACCAAATGACTGTGACTCAAAAAACCGATACCCAAAAATCAAAATGGGACCCTGGTAAGTGGAAGCATGGACCCAAACCTGCGTAACCCCTCCTCTTTAATTGTGAGCCACAGATGAGTGTGCTTACCAGCACCTGCATCAACCGAAGGGTTTCGCCTCCTTGACATCCCGCTCGGAAAACCCGGCCCCAGCCAGTGGCCATTGGCTCCACTCGCGCCGCTCGCCTGGGCGCGGTCCCGGCAGGACTCCTCCGCCCTGAGGGAGGCCATCCACCCGGTGAGCAGCTGGTGCCTCGGGAGGTTCCGAAGATGCGAGCTGCGCGGGGGGGGTTTGCGTTATGAATCATCCCTTCTGCACCCCTTCCGAATGTTCTGAAATGCGCCCTAATAAACATGAGTTTAATGAATAATCTCTTCCCCCTAGTCATAAAAGCACCCCAAGAATGAAAATCCTTCTTTAGGGGCAGATCCTTATGAATGAATATGGTTTGGGGAGATGTTCCTCAATGCACCCTAGCAATAATATTTGGACGAAATGCATCATGCGAGTGCGGTGGCTTTTCATTTGGCTGTGGGTCAAAACCCTGTACCCCTGGTGAACATCAAAATAGGTGGCAAATGGATGTTCATCCACCCCAAAGTGGGTTTTTCATGAAGAATCCCTTCTGCACCCTATGAATAAATTTATTGCTTGGGGAGATGGTCCTAAATGCACCGTGGTAATAATATATTTAGATTAAATGAATCGTCCCTTCCCCTAGTCATAAAAAGCGCCCCAAGGAAAATCATTTTTCCGGGGCGGATCCTTATGAATAAATACTATTTTGCTAAATGCAGGTTGAAAGGAATATTCCCCTCCCCCTATCCAAAAATGCACCCTAATAACAAATATCGTTTAAAGGGGGCGGATTCGCCCTATTCATAAATGCACCATAGGAATGAATATGGTTTAAAGGAGTATGTATTATTTTGGGGAAGGGATTATGTGTAGATTCATTCACACATCGCAACCACTTGAGGAAGGCGGGAGCAAGCAAGCAAAGCAAAGCAAAGCAACGCAAAGCAAAGCAAAGCAAAGCAAAGCAAAGCAAGCAACAGGCACTGAGTGTGAAGGGCGAGAGCGGGGGAATCGAGTGCACAAGCTTGCCCGGCAAAGTGCGGACAGCATTTCCTCAATTCCGTAGTAGCATGGTGGATTGAAAACAAAACAGAAATTTCAGCCCGAGCCACCCCCACAAGGTAGAACAGCTCCAGCTGTGCTTTCGTGATTGAATCCATGGATGGGACTGCATGTATATTCTTGAGAGAACCCTTTAAAAACAAAAGTGGCTTTCCAATGTACCCACACAACGAAACAAGCCCAAGAAGAGCACCCTGAAAAAGGACACATCCACATGTAAACACAAAAAAACACAGCGCAGATATTGAAAACATGTCTGGGATTGTATGTCTATGAATATACAATGGACATTCTGCATAAATGTCTATAGATTGCATTCATATCGTGTGGACAGTAAGTAAGAAAGTACATCTACTCTCCCAACCCCCAAGAACATCATTCTTGGAGGAAACTCTCTTGGGGAAGCCGCATTTTGTGGTTCCATGTTGATTGAATAGATACAAAAAGGATCAACCCGCGGATGTCATTATTTCCACCAAGTAACCTCTGACTTCATCCCTGAAAAGGAAGATGATACTCATCCCTTATTGATCCTCTTTTCCACCAAGTAACCTTTGAACATCATCATTGTTTCATCAACGTTGCTCCCTGAAACTCAGCAATGGAACCTGGCAATGACCAAAGCCATCCTGGAATGTCGTTCTCACGTTGGTGCGGAATGCCATGCCGGCTTCATGGGATACATTCTCCGTGCTGTTTGACATCTTACCCAAAGACACAGGCAAGGTATCAACGAAGGTCTCAACGAACCTGCTTGCATCGGGTCTCAAGTATTCTACCAAGCGAAATCTGACCCTATGTGGAGTTGGTCCTTGCCAAAGAAACGCACTTTTCCCACGACATGCCTCCTTCTCTATTTGCCTCGCTGAGTTTATATCACCAAAGTGCAGCACGCCTCCGACATCTACCCCAGTTTAGGCTGATCGTTGCGCAAAGAAACCTACACTTGGCACCTGCAGGCGGAGTGATGCCAATGCCTCAGACACGAAGCACGAGATCCCGCAGCAAGCACCCGGGAAAACCCTGGAGCTAGGTCAACCCGATGCCTTCAGATGGCCGGTCCTAAAACAGCTGGCCCAGCCCCAAAACAACAACATATGTCCGGTGAATGTCCCTAAAACCAACAAGAAGAACCACATATGTTCAGTGAAATGTGCCTGAAATTACTGATAAAACCAACAAGGAGAACCTACAATGCGCGATCCAGCGCCTTCATACCTCTTTGGTGCGTGAACTAATTTAAGAAAAGACTCAACACGGAGCTTTGATAGCCACACATTCAAAATGCCAAGGCACACCGTGGCTCGCCGCCCACTGGGCGTTGGAACATCACAGTTTCCGTCCAGCGTTGCGTGACCGGGTGCGGCTGTGAGGTCCGCTTCCTGAATTCGCGCGGTGAAAAAGGTCTCACCCAGGTGTGAACAGGGCCCAGGAGTGAAATCGAGGCGCTCCCTTCCACAAACTTGGCAAAGGGTCCGTGAGGAAACTGCTACAACCCTCCCCACAAATGCCCGAAGTTTGCTTTGTGAGAACCGGCACGAGTTGTAAGAGCTCACGTAAACACTTCTCCTTCCGCATCATTCCCACGTGCACTCGGGTGCCCCTTGCCATAAAACTCCCCAAGCAACATGTGGGCAATGGTCATAGCTCCTTCAATTGTTATCCCGTTACTCCCCATGAAGGGGTCCATGAGTATCCCTATCAACGCTGAGGATGTGTGGACCATATCTTTGGCGCCATGCAAAGGCAGCCGTTGAACTTGGCATTGCAATGTCTTTGTTATTCATATTGAAATCCATATCTTCCAAACGACACGCGATCCGCAACGATGGAAGTTGCTTGCCTTTTGGATGCCAGCGCTGGCAGCAAGCGCCAGCTTCCATCACGTAAATCGGGTATCCGAGACAAATTCGGTGACTCACAGATCAGCCGAAGCGACAGTGCGGGTACGAGCCCGAAAACATCAAAATAGCATCATGCCCACCAGAAAGTCGGCGCTTTATCTGTCATCGTACCAACGGCGGAAACGTGTGCAAGCTGCGAAGTCCTTCGTCATCTTCGCCCACGGGACACTGCAAGTGAAAGGAAAAACAACTCGAATGGCAAGGGACAGGGCAAGGAAGGCTGATGCATTCACCACATAATTGCTGGAGTACTGTCATATATATATATATATATATATATGGTCCTGGTTTGGTATAATATATATATATGGTACCCCCCCAGTACCCAGGTGTTGTTGCATCATGTATCAAAACCATTGATATGTACAGTGTATTTTGATTGAACTCATGCATTTTCTGTAAGGCCATTTTGTGGACCAAAAAAAACAATCCTAGCCCCCACCATGGCTGGGATTCTTTGGTGTTTTGGTTTTTTGGTTTCTTGGTTTTTTGGTCCGGGCAAATGCTGCGCAACAAATTCCAAATGTTGCGCAACATTTGCGGAGCATGATGAGAGGATATGTGAACCTTCGTGAAAGAAGGCATGTTCTGGGTGAGAGGATATGTGAATTTCTGTAGAAAAGAGTTATTGAAAAAGACGTGTGTTGTGTGAGATGATATGTGAGTCTTTGTGGAAGAGTCAGGGTTGCAGTGATTCATAAAAGTACAGCAAAAGACAGTAAATATCATGTAAAGCCACCATGTATGTAACACAAACTGTCCCAGCCATAGCCTGGTTGTATTCTACACAGGGTTCACTTTCCTTGGCAACTCTTTCACATATGCTGCCTTCGCTTCATTGAAAGAAGACATGTAGAAAGACATGTGTTGGGTGAGAGGATGTGTGAATTTTCTGTGGAAGAGTCTTTGAAACAAGGCATGGTCTGTGTGGGAAGATGTGAATTGAATTTTGTGTGGAAGAGCCATTGAAAAGGGCATGGGTTTGGTGAGAGGATCTGTGATTCCTTGCGAAAGAAGGCATGCAAAAAGGCATGTTTTGGGTGAGAGGATGAAAGAAATGTCTGTGGAGAAGAGTTATTGAAAAGACATGCTTTGTGTGAGATTATACGTGAGTATTCTGTGGAAAAGTCTTTGAAAGAAGGCATGGTTTGTGTGGGAAGATATGTGAGTTTTCTGTGGAAGGGCCTTTGAAAAATGGCATGTTTTGGTGAGAGAATATGTGACCCTTTGTGAAAGAAGACATGTTCAGTGTGAGAAGATATGTGAACTTTCTGTAGAAAAGAGTTATTGAAAAAGACATGTTTTGTGTGAGATGATATGTGAGTCTTTGTTGAAGAGTCAGGGTTACAGTGATTCATACAAGTACAGCAAAAGACAGTAAGTATGATGTAAAGCCACCATGTATGTAACAAAAACTGTCCCAGCCATAGCCTGGTGTTATTCTACACAGGGTTCCCTTTCCTTGGCAACTCTTTCACATATGCTGACTTTGTTTCATTGACAGAAGACATGCAAAAAAACATGTGTTGGGTGAGAGGATGTGTGAATTTTCCGTGGAAGGGTCTTTGAAACAAGTCATGGTTTGTGTGTGGGAAGATATGTGAATTTTCTGTGGAAGAGCCTTTGAAAAAAGGCATGGTTTGGTGAGAGGATATGTGAACCTTTGTGATCGAATGCATGTAAAAAGACATGCTTTGGGTTAGAGGATGAATGAATTTTCTGTAGAGAAGAGTTATTGAAAAGACATGCTTTGTGTGAGATGAGATGTGAATATTCTGTGGAAGAGTCTTTGAAAGAAGGTTTGTGTGGGAAGATATGTGAGTTTTCTGTGGAAGAGCCTTTGAAAAATGGCATGTTTTGGTGAGAGGATATGTGAACCTTTGTGAAAGAAGACATGTTCTGGGTAAGTGGATATGTGAATTTTCTGTAGAAAAGAGTTCTTGAAAAAGACATGTTCTGGGCTGGCAATACAGTGGTCCCGAAAAATATTAAGGACATCTGCAATTTCGGCCGTTTTCCCCTTGCGACGGGCTCCAGCCGCCGCGAGTGGCAAAGGCCTCGCATGGAAAGGCAAGCGGGTGGCGCTAACATGTGCTCAGTGCAACTGCAAGTGATGATTTTGCTTTTCTTCCCCTCATGCTACGCATTGCTAGGCAATGAACCCAGTGCTATGAGCTCAAGACTGCGTGGCTGCAAGCCCAAGCTCTGCTGCCTCTGCAAGGCTTGCCCACTTTCAAGCTTTGCGATCTGGACAGCAGGACCGCAGGACCGCTTGGCGCCATGCTGCTGCCCTCTGCGGTCGTGCGTGCAGGCGTCGGGCAACGGCGCTGACCCCCGCGCTGCGCAAAGGCAGTCTTGGCAAGCAAATTGTGGACCAGTTTCGGCACCACTGTACAAGGGCGCCATGAGGCACAGGCCAGTCGCCACTTCATACAGCACGCCTCCAAAAGCCCATATGTCTACCGCAGGCTGCAAAGCAGCTGCGAGATCAGACCTGCGCAAAGCTCCCCAAAGTTCTGGTGGCCTGTATGGGGGCGTGCTGTACTCGTCATATCTGGGGGACTCGCCCTTCTTGACTCGCGCTGGCTCAGTCAGTCCGAAATCAGTCAACTTGAGCTCGTGCAGCCCTTCCAGCCACAGGATGTTGCCGGGCTTGACGTCTAGATGCACCAACTCCAGCCCGTGCAGCGCTTGCAGAGCGGCTTGCAGCTGCATCGCTGCTTCTCCAGCCTTTTCGTCGCAGAATGGCCCGCTGGACCGCAGGACCGCGGCGAGGCTTCTTCCACAGTACTCCAACACAAGGCAAGGAAACGGGCTCTTGGACTCCTGCGCATACTTCAAGGCAGGAAAGAAGGCCCGCTTGTCTTTGTCAAGCTTCTCATCCAGCTGACGGAAGATGGCCAACTCGTGCTGCAAGTCGTCTTGGCCGTCAGCCTGCTTGAAGAGCTTCGCAGCAGCCGGCTTTCCGTCAGGGCCTCGACAAAGGAGCACGGCGCCGTAAGAGCCTTGTCCAAGATGAGCGGCCTCTCTGCCATGCTGAAGCGCCTTGAAAGGCCCGATGGCCAAAGGCGCGGGCTGCTGGACGGCTGGGACACTTTCGCCTGACAACGGCGGAGCTGCGGTCCTGGCGCCTCTCACTGGCAGCCCATAGATCCTCAGAGACCTTCGCTGCTCAGCAAATTCTTTCTCACTCCAAGCCCGGTACCTGTCCTTCTCTTTTTCTGGCAAGGACTTCCACTCCTGGCCAAGCCTCTTCGTCTCGGACAGAAATTGACCTTTTGGAGCTCCTTTCTGCACCGTGCTCTTCTCCATAAAGAACGACTTCCGGGCCTTTGGCGCGAGGCCTTCTGCGACTGCTGCTGCGCAACCAGTGGACGCTGCTCTTCGCTTGCCACCGCGACACCTTGCCCAGGCCCTGAGCAGCCTTTCGGGCGGAGGCTGTTTGCCGCGCAGGCGGCGCCGCAGAGCCATGCTGGACAAAGTAGGATAAACGTGAGCCAAAGGGGGCTGCTAGCTCACTCTGAAGCAAACATGGGCTTATCCAATGTTCTCGGCCACCTCCAACTTCAAACACATATAGGCTCAAGCTCAGAGTAGGGCCAAGCCAGCAAAAAACCTTCAGTGTGTCACGCTTGGACGGCCCGCAGCTTGCGGGCCATGACGCTAAGGGTCTTTCCGAGGCATTCAAGGGTGGCCGGCAGCCTAGAAAGCAAAAAGCACAAGTCTCACCTCTTTGCGACTTGCATAATCTCAAGCTGGAAGAGCGGCAGTGCAACAATGGCTCAACTGCGACAAGGACCTATTTAGCGCGGTGCGCTGCGATTGTGCGGGCAGACTCTAAAAATGCTGAGCAGACGGCATCCCGGAATCCCAAAACTAGTGACCAGTCACTCATGACCCTCAAAATGAGAAACAAAGTCACTGATGGTCCGGGCGCCCTTGTGTGCCAAGACTTAGACCGCTGGACCGCAGGACCGAAACAGAAGCCAGGCCGCAAGCTCCACTGCATGTGGTCTCGGTTGCGGCAGATGCCATGGCAGCCTTCATCAGTGATCCGGAGCCAGCCGTCAAATCGAAGACTGCGCCCACCTTAAACTCCGATAGAACCGCGGTGTAAAAGCTGATTGGCTTGGACTCTTGCCAAAACAGCGGCTGGTCTTCGCCATACTTCTCCTTCCAGTCGTCCGGCGCAGACTCAGCCGCCCCCAGCACCTTCTTCTTCTCCTCCCAAGAGATCAGCGGCAGCTCAGACATGGGGCGGAAGCCCACGCCGCTGTATGAGCCCTGGAACGTGGTGGCCTCGCCGCAGGAGTTGAAGCTCTCCTTCTTGGCAGTCTTGAGTTTGTTCTTCTGAACCGGGAACCGCGCCGCCGCCGTCTCCATCTTCTTGGCCCCGAGCGGCAGCCTGCGGGCACGCCCAGCACGAGGGGGGCAGCCGCCAGAGTACACCACGCAGATCTCATCTGTGTGGCTCTGGCTCAGAACCGCATCTTCCTAGGCAGGGTGGGGCCACAACAGGCGACGGCTTGCTAGCTAATTCTGATGAGGCAGGCTGGCAAGGTCAGAGTAAACTACCTGCTATGCCAAGGCGCGCTGGACCGCCGGACCGCTCTCATGCGACCGTCCAGCAGCATGGCAAAGTCACAGCTGCCCGTGGACCCAACTGCGAACTCCGACATCACCTTCCACTCCGCCGCAGGCGGCTTCGACTGCTGCAGCCACGGCTCCTTCTCATCCTCCGCCACAAGGTCAGCTGCAGCAAACATCAAGCGGTGGCTTGTGTTCAGGGTGCCTGCGTGGGTGTACACTTTGCCACTGGGCCGAAAAGCTGCCGTGTAGCCGTCCTTTGTTGTTGCTTTGACACAAGAAAAGGTCACGAACTTGCGCCGCTCGACTTGGATCTGCTTCCACACCCGCTCACGCTCAGCAGCTGCTGTCTCATCCGAGCCGCTTCCGCCCAAGGAAGCCAACAGGCTGCGGGGCGGGCACCACTGTGGACAAAGACACGCGCTTTGCGTTAGTGTCGAAGGCCTGGACAATGAGCCGGAGTTGCCGAACAAGCTCGCATGGCTTTTCAGAGTCGCTGCTGTCGCTGGCCTGGATCAGCTTGCAGATGGGGCCGTTGTCCCCCTTGCTCAGCAGCCGGCAGTCCTCCAAGTACTTGCCAGCCATGAGATCCACTAGAAAGTCTAGCAGCATGCCAGTCGCCTTGTTGAATCTGTCTTTCAAAGTCTGCAGCGCTGAGGCCACAGGCTCCAGCACCCCTTCGTCATCTTCATGCGTCTGGTCCGCGCCGTCCTCTGTTGGCGCGTGCAAGAAGTCCTGCCAGCACCGCAGAGGGCTCAGGATGTTGGCAACCGCCTCGTAGCAGGACTTGTGCTCTTTCTCCGACAGCTCGCAATCAGCGGCTGAGCGAAGTCTGCTACCTGCGTGCTAAGCTGGTCTGCAGACTGCTGCACAAACCCAACACACAAGCCAAACAAGTCCCTGCACTCCATTCCGGGCCTGCATGCTCTCAAGCCTGCCCAGATTGGCCCACCCACTGGCCCTGCCTGCGCGGCACCAGCGGCAGCGGAGGCGCCAGGCCAAGGCTTTGCGAGCTAAACGGGGTATGACAAGAAGCTGCGGGCGGCGTCCAAGGGCATGACGCAAAATGACACAAAATAAAAAATGCCCAAATTGCCAGCTTAGTGTTTTGTGTGAGATGATATGTGAGTCTTTGTGGAAGAGTCAGGGTTGCAGTGATTCATAAAAGTACAGCGAAACACAGTAAATATCATGTAAAGCCACCATTTATGTAACAAAAACTGTCCCAGCCATAGCCTGGCTTTATTCTACACAGGGTTCACTTTCCTTGGCAACTCTTTCACATGTGCTGTCTTTGTTTCATTGAAAGAAGACATGTAAAGAGACATGTGTTGGGTGAGAGGATGTGTGATTTTTCTGTGGAAGAGTCTTTGAAACAAGGCATGGTTTGTGTGTGGGAAGATATGTGAATTCAATTTTGTGTGGAACAGCCATTGAAAAAGGGCATAGGTCACGTCCAAGGCGTCTTTCTTCAATGAGGCAAACCTCCTTCCTCTGGTCTCCCAGTGTGCAAATCTGAGCTGTTCTTCCTGCCTGCGTCCGCGGTCTCTGAACCAAGCCCAAACCTGGGTACCTGGGGGGGGGGGTAGCATATATATGTCATGTATATACATCTACTTCCTGTAGCCCCCCCATGCATCTACCTTCCTTCAAAATTCACTAGTATGAGCGGTGTTTTCTGCCTTTTTGGGGCTTTGGGGAAAGCAGCAAACAAAAACATGTATATGTATATACATATGTATATATATATATATACACGCCTGCACAACACACTCACACAAGCATAAACCCAGCAATTGCTGCGAGCAAGCAACCGCCGGGACTTCGTCTTGCATCTCTCCGTCGGACTCCGCTGTCTCCACCTCGACGCATTCCGGTTCCATCACCTGGCACTGCCGACAAGGCGGGGGACTCTGCCAGTGTCCTCTTGAAAAAAAAGTGGCTTTCCCAGGGATGAAATTGGTGGTCTGGAAAAAAACCAACAACAAGCATATATACTCATCCCCATGTACGGTGCCAACCAGCGGCAGACTTGATTCCCATTTGGGTCTGTGGACCAATTTGCATCCTGGATTCCAGTGGGTCATGGTTGGTTCCGGTGGAGGTTTTCTCAACTTCCGGAATGCATGACTAACCACAAATCAAGCAGGAGGCAAACGCGCAGGAAGCAAACATCCCGGAGCTGTGGTGGGCCTTCCCGCAACTTGACTGCTATTGGGTTGGATCTTTAGACTTTAACTTTTTGGTTGAAATCAAGGGCGTTTTCCACTAAACCCCAAAAAAGATGTTCAACTTTTTGCAGGAGGGTCGTGCCAGCAGCCAAGCAAATCTGAATGATTGGCCTCCGCCGCGAAGAAACCGCGAATTTGTGTGGGCATTGAGCCGTGCCCTTTGCAGGTTGCTTTACTGTAAATGGCGCCAAAAACAAAAATACAAAAATGGGGGTCTCCTAAAACAAAGCCGCAGCCAAGTTCCAGAACATCCTTTCTTCGCTGTGTTCCGAGGAGTTTCTGCGTCTCATTGGGGTCCCACCCTAGGTATTTGGCCATGGGTCAAAATCCGAAGCCCGTACCCCAGTGAACATCCCAATCCCCACTAACATGGTGAATTCACCAATCCCCCAACACGGGATCCCAAAATGGTCTTGACACTGAACCACATCCCCTTTCGCCTCCTTGACCGGGCTCCGCTTGGGCTTGCTCTTTTTGGCGCGGCGGGCAGCCTGACGGGTCTACTCCAAACATGGCGCCCGCCAGAGGGGCCAAGAGGAACTTGGTTGCTGGCACGAGCCCCTGCAAAAAGCGGTTTGTTTACAACAAAACAAACAACTTTTTGGGGGTTTAGTGGAAAATCCAACTTTATTCAACCAAAAGTGAAAGTCTAAAGATCCAAGCCAATAGCAGTCAAGTGAAGAGGAACAAGACTTGATCTTCCAGGTACCCTCCGATTAAATGCGATAGTGGGAGGAAGGGCAACAGGGCAAACACAAACCTGGGTTGGGTGAGAAAGTTGGCACACAGTTCACTAAACCCGTGTTTTCGCCATGGCTGAAAGGCTTGAGCAACCATGAACATGGAATCCACCAAATGGCTGGTCCAAACCAGGACCGCCCTGTCAAGCTCGACTCTATGTTGGGGTTTTGGGCGCGGAAATGGCATGGGCACTGCTGATTCCGAAGACGGAATTCAAAACCCGCCGGCAAATATGCATCCCGTGTGTATCCCCTGCAGCTGCAGCGTCGCTTGTGCCACCCGCTGCTCCACCACGGACACCTAAAGTTGTTCCTAAATCAGGAACACCATCAACAAATCCAACAAAAAGTTAAACACCCCTCCTAGGAAGTTCTTCCAGAACTCCTGGTAGCTCCTTAGCTCCCCATTCAATCTCAAATTGGGTACCCCCCACCAGCTAAAACGTCAGGCCACCACCCCGACCCCACCACCCCCCCAACCTACCAACCCCCCCAACCCTACCACCCCCCCCACCCTCTCCCCAACACCAGCCCCCCACACCACCCCCTCCCCCCCACCCCCCCCACCCCCAACACCTCCCGCCCGTAAGAGGGAAGAGTATGTATAATGCGTCGCGCGCGTGTTTTGGTACGAGTTTCTATTGATTTTCTTTGCTTTAAAATGTTCCTTTCTGTTCTATTGCTCTAATTAATGAATCAAGTTAGAAAAAAACAAGGCCTCGGATTTTCTAATGTTGCTAACTGATTAGAACAATTAGAACAAATATAAAAACAAGCCTCGATAGTCCTGGGCCCACTTCCCAGAATCCTGGGTCCTAATTGTTTTTCTAACTATTATAATTGTCCTAATTTTCCCATTTTTTCTGATTAATTAGGAAAATGAAAAAAATAGAAACAACAAGGATTCGAATTTTCTATTTTTCTATTTTTTCTAATTAATTAGGAAAATTAGAAAATTCGAGGGCCTTGTTTGTCTATTTTTCTAATTTTCCTGATTAATATTGAAAATTAGGAAAAATATAAAATCAAGACCCTCGAATTTTCTAATTTTCTAATTAATTAGAAAAAAAATAGGAAAGATAGAAAATTCGAATCCTTGTTTTGCTATTTTCCTAATTTTCCTAATTAATTATGGGCCCGGGACTACAGAAAAGAGACAAATTAGGAAAATTAGAAAATTCGAGGGCCTTGTTTTTCTAATTTTCTAATTTTCCTAAAGAATAGAAAAGTCATAATTAAATAGAAAAAATATGAAAATTATAAAAATTAGAAAAATAGAAAAACAATTGGGGCCCAACATTCCGGGAAGTGGGCCCAGGACTACAGGAATTAGAAAAATTAGGAAAAATAGAAGGAAAAAAAAAAGGCCCTTCGAGGGCCTTGTTTTTTTCTAAATTTTCTATTTGTCCTAATTAAATATAAAAATATAAAAAAAATAGAAACACAATACGGGCCCAGGATTCAGAGAAGTGGGCCCGGAACTACAGGAAATAGAAAATTAGGAAAGTTAGAAAATTCGAGGGCCTTGTTGTTCTATGTTTTACTATTTTCCTAATAAATCAGAAAAAATAGAAAACTGGAAAAAATTAGGGGCCCAGGATTCCGGGAAGTGGGCCCGGGACTACAGGAATTAGAACAATTAAGAAAATTAGAAAATTCGAGGGCCTTGTTTTTCTTATTTTTTCTAATTTTACTAATTAATATTGCAACATAGGAAAAATAGGAAGATACAAAAAAAAGGAAAACAATTGGGGCCCAGGATTCCGGGAAGTGGGCCCGGGATTACAGATATTTTTATTTTCCTAAAAAATGGAAAAACAATGGCCTTGCTTTTTCCGAATTAGTTAGACAAAAAAATAGAAGAACAAGGCCCTCGAATTTTCTAATTTTCCTAATTAATTAAAAAAAAATGAGACAAATTAGCAATATTAGAAAAACAATAGGGGCCCAGAATTCCGGGAAGTGGGCCCGGGACTACAGGAATTAGAAAAATTAACCTACAGCAACAAAAAATGGAACCCCTGCCCCTCAGGGATGAACTAGAATAATGAGAGCAGTTCTGATAAGTAGAATTTTAGCAAAATTAACATTGAACTTCCCAAAAGGCACCCATCCCGTGTGAGTACGTAGCGGAATTAGAACAATGAGAAGAAGTGGAGCAATTAGGACAAAGAGGAATCTGAAATTCCTCAACAGGCACCCGCTCTTTCGGAATAAGTAGAGAAAGTCGAATAGTAGAGAAAGTCGAATAGCAATGATCCGGTGAGGAAATGATTATAACAAATTAAATTAGAACAAAGATGAATCTGGAATTCTCCGAAAAGCACCCGAATCATTGCAATTGGAAGAACTGGAAGAATTGTGATAAGTAGGATTATTTGCAAAATGAATCTTGAATTCCTGAAAAGGCACCCGCCCCTTTGGGAATAATCAGAGTATTTAGAGAATTAGAATAATTGGCACACACACATGCACCCGTCCCTTTGGGAATGGATAGAATAATGACATTATTCAGGATAGTTGGAGCAAACCTTAATCTGGAATTCCCAAAGGCACCTGTCCCGCGGGGAACAAATTTACTATTTAGAACAATTAGCAAAACATAGCCCTGTTTGTTCTCTGATTATCATAGTTATTCGATTCAATGGTCAAAAGTAGCTAAGTATGAATCTATGATTCCGGAATTCAAACCAGAAACAACAAATAGGGCTACGTGTCTTCGTCTTATTCTATGTATTCTAACTAATTAGAACCACTCCAATACTCACAATGATTTAAACACATCTGCAATTTCCCAAAGGGCCCCTTCCCCATTCGAGAAAAATAGACTAACACGAATGATTTTACCCTTGCCTATTGCAAACATGAATCTTGAATTCCCTAAAAAGGCACCCCTAGAATGATTTGCTCAAAGTGAATCTGGACATTCCCAACAAGGCGCCCGGCCACTGAAAAACAGAATGTTAGAATTGTGAGAATGCTTAGAATGATTAGAACAAGCATGAGTGTTGCATTTCCCGAAAGGAAGCCCTCGCTTTGGAAATAAAATAAGATAAGATAGTAGGTTTTAGAAGCAGAATAGTTAGAGCAAGCATGGATCTGAAATTCGCCAAAGGGCTCCAGTCCCTTGCGGGAACAAAACAATTAGAATAGCTGCGCAAAAATGGAAATTGCATTGAAGATCCAAAGCACGCCCGTCCATTCGGGAATAATTGGAAGAATTAGACACTTAGAAGAATTGGATTTTGCATTCCTCAACAGTCACCCGCCCCTGTAAAAGTATATGGAGTGATTCGAATAATGAAAACAACAAGGGGCGTGAAGGTCGTGTGAGCCACACGCACGCGCGCCACATTATACATGGTCTACCCTTCCACACCTCCCGCCCCACCACCCATCCCCCCCCCCCCCGAGGGCACCTCCTTGGCCTCCGCCTTCAGCAGCTCCGCCGCCGCCTCTGCCGCCCGCCGCTCGCCAGGCGCCGCGGTCCCGGCGCCGGTCCGGCGCCGCGGCGGCGAGGCGGCGCCCGCGCCTCGCCGCTGGGATCGCCGGGCACCGCCTGGGCGCGGGTTTGGGGGTGGAGGATTCCGGGGTTGGGGCCGGGGATTCGGGGGGCGGGGTCCCAAGAACTTCCTGATCTTTTTTGCAGGATGGTCCCCTGATGTGGCAGGTGTGGGAGAGACATGCGTCCTAGCAGCTGTTGCGGGCTTCAGGGCTTCAACCGGGGTCCCGTGCCAAGGATTGCAGAGAAACATCCGGCTGTTAGACCATCCACACAAGAACGCAAGTCGTCCAGCCCAGAGCAGCGAACTTCTGATTGACTTGTTACCCGACAGCAGCAAAACAGTTTGGGGCGTGGCACCGATTCACTGAAAGTCGCGTTTGACGGCTGTGGATGGCAGTGTTCTGTGGATTGCGCAGCTCGTTGCAAACAATCATTCAGGTTTAAACGGTAACACGGCCACACAATAAGCTGCGGAACCTCCTACAATCATGTTAAGGGGCTCATTAAAAAAAAGAAAGATGTTTGTTGCTCCCACGAAGATTCATTGCTTCAACCCATTCGAAGTACTTCGGCCCTGGATGGTAATTTCCGAACCCGCCCTAGGCTCTGTGTCCCAGACTGAGCTGACCCGAAACTTCTCTTTGGCTTTGAGCCGGGCGGCACAGCACTCGGCATCCACATTGAGAAAGGTCACCTGGCAGCTAAGAGGCACCGCACACACTTGATATGAGACGGCAAAACTGACAATGCGCACCACCATGCAGGTACAGGCTGTTTGAAGGTCTCCGGCAGGGCAATGGAGTTTCGGCTTCACACATGCCTGAACATTGTTCGCCTAGATTGGCCTTCCTCTTCAGGGACGCCAACGGCCAATCTGGCTACTGCATGCCAGGACATGAATGAAGGTGGCGTCCGACTCCAATAAAGAGAGAAAGGCACGACCGCAAAACCCCTTAGGAACAGGGGGGCCACACACACACCCCCCGCAGGGGGAAAAAAAACCAAAACAGCCCGAATCTCAACACTCAGAGAAACCGCCAAGTTCTGAAAGCCGCCTCCATCATGATTCCCGATGGGTAATTTGGTCTGTTTGTGGAACTCCTGCCTGTCCTCACCTACTTGCGCCTAAGTTCAGGTGGCCTTCTGATGCTGTTCCTTCACCTTCCTGAGGCGCTCCAGACTCTTCCAGCGCTGCGTGACATCCGCGATGGACCGGTTGAGCTTCTTGGCCAGCGACTTGTACGAGTACTTGGACCGGCTGTCTCCCTTCAAGCTGCAGAGCTGCTGGTCATCTTCTTCTGTCCAGGCCCGAGGTACTTCTGGGGGAGTTCCGGGGTTGCCGGCATCGGAGTGAGCATGAGGAGGAGGTTCAGGAAGAGATTCAGGAGAGGAGAACAGTCCAGTGCAAGGAGATGCCGGAGCAGGTGCTGGAGTGCGAGATGCTGGAGGCGCCGGAGGCTCTGGGGAGTTCGTGTTCTCGGAAGATGTAGCGCGGCATCTCTTCCGCTTTGTTCGGCGTCGGTCCGTGCCTGTCTTGTCCATGATGGAGCGAGGAATATTGGCCTTCTTGATGCTCAGCTGACCAGCATAGGTGTGCGCCATGGGGCTCTTCGAGCGCGGGTCTATAGCCTCGTCGGTGTCCCCCGTGATGATGCCGTAGGACAACGACTTGGGGTTGGCCACTGCGTTGTGCCTATGGTCCGCGTGTAGCTGGAGTGACTGAAAGCCGACTGGTGGTGGAGGGTCGGCCGGAGTCTCCGAGTTGACCGAATTCGGGATCACCGGGCCAGGTGGGTCCACCTCATCGAATCCAGCATGATCATGTGCTCGTGGTCGCGATGATTCTGCCAGCGACAGGCCTCGGACATGTTGTTGCCGCAAGCGAACTTGCCCGTCATGATGCCGGCGACTGTGTGCCTCGTCAGCCTGATTCAAGGTCTCCTGGATGAGCTGCATCATGTCCGCAGCGTTCTGGGTCATACGGTGGTGAAGTGCTATCATGCGTCCGAGCATGACGACCGCTTTCCGATGTCGGCGAGAAGGCCCACGTCTTGAACCAGCGAACGAGCTCCGTGATCAACACAAGAGTCAAGGGACCCCGGAACCCAAACAGAAGAAGAAGAGCACCCGAACGCAACAGCCCAAACGAGCCAAACCCAGTCCGGAAGAAGACCGAAACAAAGACAACAAGAGCGAGCCACAAAGCCAAGCATCGAAAACCAGCGACAACTGGCACTTAAGCGTTCTTTCTGGTTGGGATCGCCGGAAGATGAAACAGGTGCTGCAGGTCAGCTGACTTGTAACCGGCGGACAAATAAATACTGCGGAGCTGATCCAGTGCCATCTGCACTGCTCGGGCCGGGTGCGCGTACTTGGTGGCGAGGGCTGACCGTGATCTGGCCCCGGAGAGAAGGGTGGAGAGACTTCCTGCAGTGTGGGGTCCTCTGATCTGCCAGATTTTGGTTGGGGTGTTGTAGTAAATCGCACGGTCGCCCACGTCGATCACGAAGCCGAGGAACTCAGAAGATCCCACCTGTTCCAGCACGATGGGGGCACCGTAAAAGTCAGCTTGAAGCAGAGCCTCCAATGGAGCTGCTGGGTGACCGGAGGCCGGAGACGGGAAGATCACAAATCTGTTGTCGACATATCGCTCCAAAAAGATATTGTGACTGGCGAACCATTGTCCGTAGATACGCTGCCAAAGAACTTCGTGCCTCGCGACGCAGATGTGGCTGAGAACTGGGCTCAGCTGAGAGCCAATCGCCGTCCCGTGGACTTGGCGCAGAATGAGAGTACCCACCTGGACATACATGCATTGGAAGCTGGATTTGACGATATCCAGGATGTCCTCCACGTAAATGACCCGCGTGGTCGGCGTACGTCCGTAGGATTGCTTACCTGCAAAGACCCGATTGTAGTGGACAGCTGCCTGAGTTTCCACTGAATAGATGAGACCAGGATGCTCTCGCCGGTGCTCTGCTAATAGCTGCTCGACTGCTGCGCACACTTGATCCTGAGGGACACTGTTGAAGAAGCCGACCAAATCGTCATTGTGGAATGCAAGGGTGACTGTATCGTCTGTGTTGTCAAAGTAATGTTTGACGTTCTGCCATATCCTCGGCGTGGGGTGTATCCCCCACGAACACTTCCATGTAACCGCTGCGATCTCGCCGAGGAGGATTGCAACCGCTTTGAAGAGCTGCCGATGTACCACCTTATGGTAGGCTATAATAGTCCGCCCCGATTTCCATTGCTTCTTACGTTTGAGAAAAACTTTGCCAACCGGGATGGCGGTGGTCTTCTTCCTGTATGCCCATTTGTACCTCTTCTGCAGGTGCCGAGGAATAGCTTCAACAATAAGAGCCCCGGCTTGCTCGGGCTTCAGTGGAGTAGCGGCAAATGTGCCTGACTGAAGCCAGGTGTTGTGGAGGCCTTTGAAGTAGAGTTGAGGGCAGAAGAACATGAGGTGGTGGTTGTCATGATCTTCGTTATGGCACACAAAATCCTGGCCGAGGTGTCGATGCAGGATGTTCAGTTGGTGCTTGGTAAGGAGCTGATGGGTGGACGCGTGCTGCCGATGTTTCTAAATTGACTGCGTAGGTGCTCCATGAGAGGTGCGTGGAACTGGTCCAGGGGCAGGCCGTGGTGCAAACACCATTTTCGTAGGCGTTCATGAACCTGCACTTCGTAAACTGAAAGGTCCACATAATACGACGCCAGCGCTGAGGTGTAATGAACGTGCTGAGGGGTTCCCGGAAACCGGAACTCATCTAAGTCCGCGGCCACATGGCCTTGAACGTGAGATAGCCAGGGCTGACGTTTTAGCCAGGCTGCGCACTGACACGATGATGGTCCGGGGGATGTCAGGAGGTAGCAGTCCTGAAACGACGAGAAGTTCCACATAACTGTATGGACCCGAGGATGAGGGGTCTCTGCCAACTTCGTACTGGGCAAGTGAAATGGAAGAGCCCAGTTGCGATGGTCGAGGACGAGCCGACGAAGCACTGCCCTGGTGGACCGCTGATAATGTGGATGGGACAGCCACGGTAATCGCAATAACAAGTTGATCTTGGGTTGCTGAAGTTGACGGAAATCAAGAACTCTTCGCAGAATGTTCCGAACTCGATGCCGATGAGGCTGTTCCACATTGCCAGACAGCCTGTATATAGCATATATATCCAAGTCTGAATGCCGTCCGCTACGAAGTCGTTTTTCCTCCTCCCAGGATTCAATGTGCTCCGAGGTGAGGCGAGCGATGATGGACCAGGCTTGGGTGTGTTTGAGTGCCACCCGATGGAAGTTCCTGCCATAGACAGTGCAGCTCCTCCTGCGCAAACGGAGGAAAAGGCGTTTGCCGAACCTGGACCAGGGCTGTTCTGCAAGAAACCTGGTAGCCGTATAGCCGGTGGAAATGCGCTTGTACCGCCGATAAATATAGGGCCAATTGAGGGACGGCTGATAAATGCTAATCAAGGCATGTTCCTAGGTCCAGGTGACCGCGTGGTCGGGGTCTGTCAGGATGACCCATGTAGCAAACTCGTCATAGTTGCTGAAGTGATGCCACCATCTGAGGGCCGGTTCCGCATTGATAAACTGTCCGTGCTGAATACCCAGTAACTTGGCCCTACGATTGTGTTCTCGACTAGGATAAGTGATGCTGGTGCTTCCAATGTATACGTCTGACTGCGGGTTGACGGAGCGTGGAAGGTCCGGGCGGAGTTCGACTTGCTGCTTCCAGTACACTGCGTTGGGCTGCGAGAAGTGGGTGAAGGTGTACATGTTCGGGTGGATGCGTAAACGTCGGAGTCGGCATCTGAGTTCCGTGAGTGCATGCGTGGGACGACCGTAGTGATGAACCATCAGCAGCGTGGACATTGACTCGGCCCACATAGACAGTTGCTTGTTGACCATCGGCGTGTTGAGGATTTGGCGACTCGTGACGATGATCAGATAGAGGACCTGATAATACTGGTAGGATGCATGCACATCGAGCGAGTCACCGAGTCTGATTGCAATAAGCGCCGTGAGGTAGGGAAGGAAATAATCGGTGCCATGCTGCAGGCTCACTGGCCAGGATGGCTCGGGAATACCATAGTGTCTGGCTGCACTGTAAAGTTCTGACCGTTCATACTTGCCGTAGAGCTGCCAAAGAAACACCGTCTCTGGAGATTGAATGACCGGCATGGCTTAGCCATGCATCCAACGCTCGAGCACTGAACGGTTAATTGGGTCAACTGGAAACAGCGAGGAAAAAAACGCCGACCCGCGACCCCAAGAAAAACAGGAAAACGAAAAAGAAGGAGAAAAGGCAGCTGATGGTCTCAGGGCAAGGTTCAAGCGCGATGAGCAGCTGGCCTTTTGTGCCAGTCATGTCACAAGGTGCTAACTTCCTTCCTCGTGAGCGCTACAGCCGCTCCTCTCACTTGCCATACATGTACAGAACCGTGATAAACTGCAGGAGTGCTCGCTTCGATCCCTTGCTCACTAAGGAGATTGGGGCCCCCCACTTGACTGCAATGGTTTTCAGCTGCTCCACCGTGTCCGATGCCAGCTCCTGCTTGATGAGATCGAGGTAGGTCGCTTGGTTGGACAGCGTGCGTTCGTGTAGCCATGCCTTGAAGACCTTGTCCGTGAGGCTGGTGGGAAGTGGTACCTGTTGACCTTTGGGATTTCCCTGACGTAGAAGTTCTGAGTCTAGTGTGTCTCCGGGGTCTTTCGCTTTGCCGGTCGTCGCTTGGGGGCTGGATCAGCCTCCGGGGATGGAACTGGTAGGGGGGGTCCCTGAGCATCTGAGTTCGCCGCATTGATGTAGAGGGACTGGTCAGAGCGGCCGGGCGTGGGGGTCCAGGACGCGGCATTGGAAGGGGACGAGGATGGCTGCTTCTTATCCGGTGTAAGAGTGATGCCCTTGTTCTTGTAGCGCTCCAGCTGTTGTTCCAATTCGGCAATTTTGTGACGAGTGAGGTTCTCCTGCTTGGCGGGCTGCAGCGACTCTATGAGATCCACGATTTTGAGCGCAAGTGGCTCCATAAACTGCATAGCCTCGTTGCGCTTATCCGGCGCATTGTCCGCGTGGAGAGAACGAGCTGTCCTGTCGATGTCGACCTCCCTGCCTCTCAGTGCTTTGAGAATGGATGTCAATAAGACCGCCTCGGCTATCGTCTGAGCCATGACTGGTGTGCTGTATCGCCCGTTTGACAGCGCTCGTAATGCGTGATCTTCTGCTCCTCCTCGAAGAAGTCGTGTCAATGGAAGATCCAGGATGGCTGTTCCTGCGAGCCCGACCCTTCTGGACCACTGAGTGGGTTGAACGTGACGGTACAGCTGCAGGCCGCGGACTTCCGTCTTGTCGAGGAAGATGTCATCAGATTGGAAGGTGCTAGGGAGTAGCTGCGAATATCGAGGCTGAGTGTACTGCGTTGCATCACCTTGGCCTAGAGGTGCCCGAACTGGAGGTTGAACTGGCGGTGCTGGTGGTGGGGGACGAGGACCTGTCTGCATGTAGTTTGTCCCACCACCGTGAGAGTTGTAGAACTGACCGGGAGGTTGAGGAGGAAACTGGTGAGCCATATGTGGAGGCCGAAGAGGATTGCGAGGTGCTGCTTCCTCTCGAGGTTGATGCTGCAAGGATTCCATCCGATTGGAGCTCAAATAGACCTCCTGCTGGGACTGCGGTACTGACCATGATGGAAGGTACGAGGATCCCGGATGCGAAGAGGAGGAGGGTGCCGATGTCGCCGGCCATGAATAGTTCCACTGAGAAGCCATCACGAGATGGGAGTTCGTCGTCAACACTTGCTGATAGATTAAAAGCTAGGGATACGGCACAATTTGTCGAAACGGCACCCGATTTGCAATCGGACCCAGGGCTTTTTGAAACCGGGAAACAGCAGTTGTCACAACGAATCATCAAAAAGCGAAAGAACCCGCAGTAAGACCAACAAGAAAGTCATGCTTGAGTAAGGCTCTAGCGTGCACTTTTTGTCGCAAAATATCGTCGGTGGTCGAAGACGGCAGCGTGGCGAAGGATGCTCTTATTCGCAATGAAACATCATTAATTGTCATTGGTTACAGCAGCTCTTGGTGCAGGTTCACGAGCGGAGGACACCTGTGGGCGGCTTCGTATCGGTAGGCCATGCGAGTCCAACGATCTGGCTTGCTTCTGGAATCACCATCCAACACTTGCCCGACACATAGTGGATGACGTCAGGACGTTCACTGGAATCCAGGGCCTCAATGCAAGCTTGCTCTCCTCCCGATCGAATCGGCTGACAGGTACCGACAGCGCGTCCAAACAGCAGCAATTGGGCCATGTTGAAAGACATACTCCAGTTCTGGCTCATCGTGCGGGCAATTTCTTCAGCATCATAGTCGGCGTGTCCAGTGATCTTCCAGCCTTGGGCGTAAAAGGCTGGGCGTAAAAGGCTGGGCACTCCGAGGAGTGCTGCCTGGAAGGATGGATCTGTCGGCTCCGCAGTATGCCTCTAGTGCCGCCGACACTGGATGCGTGAGTCCAGAGCAGCATGGGTCGCGTCTTCGTTGGTTCTTTGAGCCGAACAGTAGCGCCAAGGTAGGGGATGGTCAGCATGAACCAGTGCGGAGTGATCTTATAAAAGTGATGTTCCGGATTGACCTTTGCATAGTTCAGGGTGGAGTGCTGAGACGGTATGCCGGCTGCATTCAAGGTAGCGGCCACATAGTCCATCTGCTCCTGATTGACCGGGATCCCTTCGCGGACGTACGGTGCGGCAAGCACCTGAAGTTCGTTCCTCCACGGGTCGGACTCTGGGTTGGGAAGCAGGATCAGCGGTGGGTGCGCCTGCGGATTTGGGCGTAGTTGCATGCTCCTCGAGGACGACCCCACATCTGGGTGAGCACCTGTGGCCTTTGAGGCTGGAGCCGATGGGGCACTGCTTCTGCCGCGCGGAAGTGGAGATCGATTGCTTCTCGGTCGTCGGGATGAAGCTTTAGTTGCCGTAGGCGCTCGGGATGAGGACTTGGCTGCTGTGGGTGCCGACACGGCAAGAGCCGGTGCTGCCGTGGTGGAATTATCCGATGTTGTGTCCCTTCGGGAGATCGGTGGCGTCCTGTGGGGGCACTGACTTGGAGTAGGGGGAAGTGTTGTGGGAACGTGACCGCTCTCCCTCCGTTGTGTGGCGTGATCTGGCTGGTGGGTTGGGCGGTGGAAGCATCTGACCTGATGGAGTTGCCGTAGGGATCGGTGCGATAGGGGTCGGTGCTGTGGTCACAGGTGGGCATGCTGTAGTTGAAGCCGTTGGGGTAGCCGGCGTCATTGGAGTCATTGGAGTCATCGGTGTGGCTGGGCGTGCTTTCACCAGGATTTGCGGCAGAGGGCCAGCTACTGATGCAGGCCAGACAGGCAGGGTAGGGATCGATGCCGAGGCGTCGCCGGGAGCAAGAGCTGGAACTGCAGGTGTGGTAGCCCTTGAGGTGCTGGACACCGCGCCAGAGATGCTAGAGGTTGGTGTCACAAGCGCACTCCTGCTCGGTGATGCTGTCTGGTGCACTGGTGACCTGGGCGGCGTAGGGCCCGCAGTGTTCCTGGATGCCTTGGTCATGGGGCCTGCTGAGTTCGACATCGGGCCTGCGTTGGGCCGTGGCATCTGCTGCCGGCAATTGCGAGCCAATAACCAACTGGCGGCGTCATGGATTCATGCCTGATATGTCGGGTAGTCTGGCAGCCCGTCAAGTGGGGAAGTCAAACGTGACGCAATCTGGGGTGCTGAAACGTCCGGGACATGTCCAAGCCCGTGGTGAATGGTCAACGGCGAAAAGTCAACAGGGGGATTTCCAGAGTCGCGAGCGACAAGGTCCGGTGGTTGTCTGAAGAAGGTGTCGGTA